CTACCTACTCAAAATGTCTTTCTTATGCATTTTCTATTCCTTTGATATTGTTGTCTTGCCATTGATTTGGTAAGCAACCCTATCTTTGGATATAAACGGGACGGGCGTTGGGACGTTTGTATAGTCATAAAAGGCAACATAGAGACGTTTTAGCAATGTCGTTTTAGGGACTAGATCGTTTACCGAAGGCAACATCGAGGGTCATCGAGGGACTACGATCTTTTATTGAAGGTCTTTTGCTAAAACGCCTATGTTCGAGGGACATGACTATTTTCCGAAAGGCGACAAAATGAGATTACCCTAGAGGTGTTAGTGTGCGAGTGTTTTATTTTGCATGCATTTTGTTTTTGATTTTTGGTGAACTACTTGTTAGTTTTCATCTTGTCATACATCCTATTTTACTAACCATATATGAAAAGCAAATAAAAATGAGGAAAATAAAATCTAAGCTATTACATCATTTTAGAGGGATGGGGGTACAAATTAACAATAGAGATGAGGTAGAAACTAAAATATTACAACCATATCGAACAATAATGAAGATAATGTAAAAAAAGTGCAAAATATAGGAAGAAATGCATTTTGAACCACTATGTGTCGACCCATGCTGCTATGCATCGACACATAGCTTTTCCCTGCTCCTGTAAAACAAAAATGACTCAGTATAAGTCGACACATAATGGGATGTGTCGACTCATGCACCCTTCTTGTGTCGATGCGAAGCACGTATGTGTCGATACATAGTCTTTTCCCACTTCTATTATGTAACCTGAAATCAGTATGAGTCGATGCACGGGGGTTATGTGTCGACTCATACCCTGTTTTTTCACTAGGATGAGTCGACACATGAGGATATGTGTCAATACATGCTGCATTTTCCTGTCTTAAACATTATTTTGCTGAATGTACAGGTTAGCTTATGGAATATGATGGATAAACATGAACAACAAATGATTGAATAAGCCTAAACAAAGTGCAAATGACTAGTTCAAAAAGATATTAAAATACTACATCTTATTTTCAAAGAACAAAAGCTTATTAATGATGTAATGACAAGATATCAAGTCAAGAGGACTTACCTTTGGGCTGCACTGGTTGTTTTAGACCTGAATGTTTTTCTAAATGATGTGATAACCTTGTAAGTCTTCAGGAAGCTGCTATGGACTGCTAGAACTGAGTTGAATTATACTGTAATATTTTTGGTGTTTTAAAGATGGAGATGAATAACAATACATGAACTGTTTTTGTGATGTTTTGGACCACCTTTGCATGTGATGAGTTGTTTGGTTTAAAGGAGAGTTTGTATGGTAGAGTAATGAGTTGGGTTTCTGTTTTGAACAAGAGCAGTTTTGGTTTTGAAAATGAGTCGAGGTTGCATAGAATATTATTTTTTTTCTGTTCCATAAAACTCTCTCTCTTTTTCTCTAGAAAATCTTTTTTCTCTTCAAAATCCAACCCCTTGTCTTATGAGACTGTCCTCTTTTTGTAGACCCCTTGACTGTGGTTTAGGTGGGAAAACAAATAAGTTATTTGAATTGTTTTGGCATACTGCTTTGATACTTTCTGCACCCAATTTTCTTTTGCCATTTTGGTGTAATTTGGGGGCTGTCATGGTGCAGGCTCGAGCTGACTGCATAGAGCAGTTTTTGACTGTATTGGACAGCATGCATACTTAGGATATAACATGGCACAAGCTTTCTTGCAGGGCAGCATAGGGTGTTGTGGCAATGTGATATATCATATTTTCTTCAATCTTGGACAACATAGTTGTAGCATGTCATAAATTTAGTCTTGTGCACATTATGTCAAAGGCAAAAATATTGTGACAAGGTTTTAATCAAGACATAGTTTTAGAATTTGTAATTTTGCAAAATGTCACTTTGTAATAACTTGAATTACTTGCATCATATTGAATTATTTGGAGTTGTAGTAAGATGCCATGAAGCAAATGAAATTAACCAAGTATAGAAAATACTTAGAAAAATCTCAAAGTCTTGCAAAGTTGGATTTTTTTTATTCTTTTGATTTTTGATGATCAAATTTCATTTTTTGGATGTCTTGACATAATGTGATTTTTAGGACTCAAATTTGATCAAAAAGTCAAAGTTTAACTTTTTTAGCGTCCGATTGACTTTTTTAGCAGAAACTCCAATTTTGCTCATTTTGCCCCCTTTTGATAATTTGAATGACTCTTCTTAGAAAATGTGGCCTGAGGCTTGAAACTTGACTGAAGTAATTCTAAGAATCCTTGTGACAGGAGAGGGCAAATTTTAGGGTACAACACCAATTCATTGAAAAAGATGCGTGTCACCATAGATGAATTGTGCTGTTAGAATCAAAGTTTAGAGGACAACATTCTGAACATCCGACAGCGCTAACAAGAGACTAATCCTCCATAGGAGATAGAAGTGTTGAACCTCTAGCCACTTTTAAACGAAATATGGGAAGCACCTGTTTCTGAAGGGTTCAAGCCTTCCTCTCTAGTGAAGTTTGATGGGCGTAGAGATCCTTATGAACATATCGCCCCCATCAACACACAAATGGTCATCATTGGAGCGTCGACTCCCTGGAGTGAAGATTGTTATCTGGCACATTCAGGAATGCAACCTTGTGATGGTATATGGGTGTACCCCTAGCTTCCATCACCGGCTATCAAGAGCTGGTGAAAAAACTCGTATCATTAGTTCGTTGTCTACCACCAGTTTGTTCAACATATGACAGGGTCCCTCAAAGTCATTGAGGGAATACCTCACCCGTTTCAATGAGACCACCATAAAGATTGTTCCCCCAAACCAAGAAATGTTCGTAAGGGCATTCCAAAATGGTCTTAACGCGGGACACTTCAACATATCTCTCGCCCAGAAGCCACCATTTTTGTTAGCCGAAGTAGTCACTAGGGAGGAATTCTACATTAAAGGATAAAAGAGAGAGTCGTAAGTTCCATAAAGTTAAAGGGTACCACATAGAAGACTACTATCAACTCAAGATGGAGATCGAGCAGCTAATACAAGAGGGACACCTCATGAAGTACTCTCTCTGGTCACTATTATAAGCAAAGATTCTCTTTTTAGGTTCATTAAATAATTTATGTATCTAACCTTTATGTAGACCAGATACATAAACTATTTAATGAACCTAAAAAGGGAATTTTTGCTTATAATAGTGACCAGAGGGAGTATGTTAAATGCAACTCCTCTCAAGGGTCATACAAATTCAACTCCCACGGGTAAGATGACACAGGATTCCCCAAACCCAATAGAGAAAAAGAGTCATCCACAAGGGAGGATAACAAAATTGTGTGCCACACACTCAATATTGTCGCGAGAGGATTTGTCGGGAAGGGAGACTAGATTCACCCATAGAAGGTATTGTTGCACCCCAAAATTTATTCTCTTGTTTTTAGAATTTTAAATGTCTTATGTTTCATTATACACATTCATGCATTTGAGATGGGATCAAGGTATCCTTATCTTCATGGCCTTCTTTAAGCTATAAAAGATGGTTGTATTGCCAATCAGTGTGAGGAGGCTCTCATGTCCCCATTCCTTTTTTCATCCAAGTTACAAAGGCTTCTCATGCCTCAAGACACATCATTTGATTCTTTGTTCAGAGGACTGAGAATGGCTAGGGTTTTGATTATTGGAATGTGTGACTTCTCTCTTGACAAAATTCTTAAAGCATTGGCATCATGAGTATTACCTCAATACACAAGACATCTTGGTTCAAAAGATCAGCAATATTACGATTTCGATCCTAGAGATCTCTTCTCATCAAACTACAAGGCTATTCTTCTCAAATTTGCCAATGTTTTGAATCATAGTTTATTTCTTTGTATTTCTCAGAAGATTGGGGTTTCAATCCTTTGTGCTTGGACATGGAAAGAATAAGAGTTTATACCATTATTCAAGATTCAAATTCAATTGCAATTTCATTCAAACTTTACAAGTCCTTTACCAATGGAAATGCTTTGATCCAAGGTTCTAATGCATAAACTTTTACAAGACAAGTTTAAGTGAAACTCTTAAACTAACAAGCCTAATCCTATGATTTCTAAGAGAACTTTCCATTGCTTTTCTTTTGAATCTCCCTCCATATCTTCTTGCCCCATCTTCAAGCCTTTTGTTCTTATACCTTGCCATAAGTTTCTTCTTCAAGTATTACTCTATGCTCTTTCAATCTCATCCATCAACATCACATGAAAACAAACAAGGAAATGGTTAGCAAACAATCAATACTTGACAATGAAGCTTAAGAGTTTTCACAAATTTCATCACTAGGGATTCTGTAAAGGAATCAGAAATATAGGGTGTTGAATACAATCATGTTCACAAGCAACAATCAAAATCCTCATATTTATTTTGTTCACAACAACAAAAAATCATATTTCAAGCAATAATCATGGGCCGATTATCTCTACTATAAAACACAAGAAAGGCCAGAAATTTGATTCATAGTAGAGGTCCAAAAAGCAAATTCACTACAGTAAAACAGCAGGCAGTACAAATCACAAATTTTAGCCAACAACTCATTTTCACCATAGTAAAATCACAGTATAACACAATCTATTTCAGAAGCTTACCTCTCGTATGTGCCTATCGTGAGCTCCCTCGCCGTCGGTGGAGCGCCCGTTCCACCGCCGTAAACATCTATGTTGCCGTCGTGCAGAGCTTCTTCATCGACACTTTTTGATACCATTGTGTTGTGTTTCTTCCCCTGTTTATGAATTTGCTGTTGGTTTATGATTTTGGTGTTGATTTGAGGTTGTATCTTGGTTACAAAACCCGGGGTTTCCGATTTTTCTCTTTAGATCTAGGAGTATACCGTGACTTTTTGTTTTTTTCGTTGAAATTTCTGAATTGAGGAGTGAAAGAGGTTTCAGGTGTTGTTTTTTGGAGGGTCACTGCGGCCGCCGCCGCTGCGGGCTATTTTCGGCACGGCAGTGTTATCTTCTCCGATTAAGGTATTTGAGGGAGAGTCTCGTTTGAGAGAGGGAAAGTTTAATGTTATTTATGATTATCCTGCCCATAATTATTTTGTTTTGTATATTAGTGTTGTTTAGCATAGCTAATACGGCGGTGATACTTGTCACCGTCCGTTTTGCTCTCACCGTGGATCTCGTGTACATGCACTATCAGGGACCATTGCACACCTTCGCTGACAACCATCAGATCTTCATCAGGACTTCATCATCATCATCCAACGCTCAGAAGATGCTTCCCCACGGTGAACTTTCTGGAGCAGTCCCACAGGATTCTGCAGACACCATTCCAACACATGGGCTTGCTGTTATTGGGCCTAGCGAAATTCAGATCTTTACCACCCTGTTTTACTGGTTCCAGGCCCATTTCTATTTCTCTCTTTTTATTTTATTTAATTATTTTGCCTTCATATTATTGAAAACACAAAATGCACTTTGTTTTAAATAGTTAATTAAATTGAGAAATATTATTAATTAATTTATTGATTAATTTTATTAAATAAAATTATTTAATTTAATTAGTTGTTTAAATTAATTTCAATTGGACCGTATTATTTGTTTATTTATACTTTTAATCGAACTTTTGATTCGATACATCCCTATTCATAAACTTGTACCCCCATCCCCCCTTGGGCTTGTAATAATTTATTTACTTGCTTATATGCTTGCACGGATTATTCACAAATGTACACCTCACACACTCAATATAATTAGATTCCATTTTATCATCTTGGTCCATATACCAAGTCTCCAAAAGGGTCTCATAGTTGAGTATGGGCATGGCCATTTTTACGAGATTAATCGAAGCCTTTGCTTTCATCAATTAATCATAACCCAAATCAATCACTTTGGTCCATATACCAAGTGTCTATGCAAAAAAGGTCTCATGGTTGAGAGTTTGATCACCTATTCTCACGAGATTAATCAAGTATAGCCCTTGGTTAATCATAACCCTATTAAACTCCCTTCATCCCTACACCAAGCATTCTAATTATTTTGTGGTTACTTTTGCCATGATTTTGCGATTGATTGACGCAACCTGGGTACGCTTGATTATTGGTTGATTGATGGTAAGATTTGCAAGCTTTTGAGTATGAGTCTTTGAAGCAAATTAAGAGCGCAATCTTTATCGAAGAAGTTCAAGGAAGCTTTCAGTAGAGTTTTCTTATCTTGCGCGTGTTGAAGAGGCAACAAACCTTCTCCATTAGGTATCATAATACCTCTCTTTATTTCTCATTTTGGCATCACTTTCAATTAATCTTTCCATGAGAAGTATGATAGAGATGCATGACTGAAAGTCTTACCTTTGTAGGCATGTTTGATTGTTCAACTATTACCTCTTCTTCTACTTGACTACTTGGTTAGGTGTCTACCTACGTGCACGTTCTTTCTTCTTTACTTGCTTATCTAAGTAGGTTTTCTCTAGGTATATTATCTAAGTAACTTATATCTTGAGTAAGTCTCTACTTCTCATGTGCGATGTATGATTGTCTAATCTCCATCTTTTCCTTTATCTCCTACCTTGATGACATGATATCATTGTTAGGAGTTTATTACTTGATGTTTTGCCATCTCTTTCGCTTATCCTACCTAGATGACACGATATCTTGGTTAGGAGTTTATTTCTCTTGATGCATTACTGTTGTACCCCAAAATTTCCCCTCTCATTTTCTTCAAAACCTTCTTCTAAGATTCTCAAATACTTAAGGATACTCAAGAATTGATCAGACAAACTCACCTCTTAAGCACTGGGTCCACAACTAGGGTTTTGGTTTTCTCAAGGAAAATTGGACTTCTAATGCCTCAAGTGACTTTTATGGTTCATCATAGGTCACCAAGAATACTCATACCAAGTTTCAAGTCTTGCACCATAAATTTGCTTAATCAATTGCTCAAATGACTGAAAATCAACTGTATTGGGTAAAAAGTCAACGGTGGTCAACATACAGTCAAACTTCAAGATTTTTGGTCAACATCAACATTTTGAAGTCATATTCATCATTTGATCAATGGTTGATCATAATTCCTCAAGAAAAAACCTCAGATCACCAAAGGGGCAAAATTATCAAAATTAGGGTTTTGACTGAGAATGATTGATCATTGACTTTTGACCTAGTACATAACATAATTACTTGAAGCATGATCTCAAGAGCTCAAATATAATATCTTGACCTCATTATATGGTTCAAAACATTTCTAAAGATTAAGTGATTGATAGTTAAAATTTGAATCAATTGACAAAAAGTCAACAAGCACACAAAAAGTCAAACTTTGACTTTTTTGTCAATATTGAACTTCAAAGATCAAGAATCATCAAAACATTCAAAAATATCAAATTTGATCATCAAAGTCAACAAAAGTCAAAAGTTGGAAAATTTTCCAACACTTTGAAAAATTTCTAAGTGTTTTTGTTCTTAATAAATTCACTACTTCATGACCATTTTTCACTAAGATGCAAGATGATTCAAGGAAAACTTTCAACATGAAAGTTATATATATATATATATATATATATATATATATATATATATATATATATATATATATATATATATATATATATATATATATATATATATATATATATATATATATATATATATATATATATATATATGATGAATTCTACAACTTTGTCCTTGAAGGATGATCTTCAACAAGTGCTTAGTTTGAGAGATATAATCCCATGAAATTGTGACATTTTTACTCCACACTTAGAAAAAATTTCAACAAGTTTGGTCAGATTTTTTATCCCAACTTCTTGGCAAATTTTCACCAAGTTTCAATTTGATTTATTCAAAACTTACAACATGAAAGTTATAGACAATGCTTCAAGCTTTCCAAAATATCCAAAAACACAATTTTATCATGCTTGAGCTAGGAGATTCGAAGGCATGAAGTTGGGCATCCATTCTTGAAATACAAGGCATTTTTGTGATGAACATAAGATCAAATCCCCAAGCCATGCTGCATAATCTTGCTTTATAGGCTTCTAACTTGCAAATCTCACCATAATTAAATGTTTACACAAACTTTTGAGCCATTATCCACTTGATTCAAGCTTTGTCCAAGACAATTTTCCATTAATGGCACAAAGTTCACACTTCCATTTTGGAAAAGTCTGCTTTAATCACTTTGTAAACTCTCCTTGAGCCTCTCACTTGCTCCCTCTGCACACACTCAAAACAAAATCCAGAAGCAACAGGTTTAAAGTGCCTAACCACTTTAGATTTCCCTGTACTTCACATTGAAACTGTGTGTTTCAAAGTTTACTTCATTTACAATCCAACCAAACCATAACTTGTAATCTTGACAATATGATCATCTCCTTCCCTCCAACCTTTTCTATAAATAAAGAGGTCCATTTGTAAGCTAGGACACGAGTTGAGAAGCCCTAAAACACCCTCTTACTCTCTGAAATCAGAATTTGCATCCAAAACTACATTTATTGCAATTTCTGACCTTGAACTCCAAACACCCAATCCACTCGTGCATTTTCATTCTAAATCATTCACAAAGCTTCTATAACTCATATAGAACCTATCCAAAGTCTTTTTTCATCACTGTAACATCATCTTCATCATCTTCCATTTTCAAAAATAGAGCCTAGCAACTTGACTTGTCCAAAAGAATTCAGACACTTTCAGCACAAAGTAAGCATTGCAAAAGATTCCTGGAAGTTCAGTGAAGCTATCCAGATCATCCTAACACCTCCAAAAGTGCTCAAACTCAAGACTCGATTCTCACTTCAGAGGTAATTTTTTTATAACTTTGAAATCCTTATTCAAGCATCATTTGCACTTGCTTTCTAAAGAAAAAAAATGTAGATATCATTGCCCTGAAGCTAACCATGTGCTTACTTTTCATTTATATTGCTTGCGTGATAAGAATTTTGAAGCTGAAGTTTCTGAAATTTTAGGGTTCAGTTTGGCACCAAATAAAATTCTCACTCATCTTTGATCTATAGCTTTTGAAATTTATATGGTTGGACTCGTGGTTAAATTTCAAGCAAGTTTGATGTTTACATTTTCGATTTGGTTGAGAAATGAGCATTTTACAAAATTTAAAAATATGTTCATGGCTACTGGCGCGAGGAAGAAGATGAAGTTACATTTAGAAATGAGTTTGTAATATATTTAATAGTTGTTGTTTAATGAACGGATAAAACAGCCACCCCAGTGGTAAAGCAAGCGCGCGTATGACTATAGGGACCTGGGTTCGAGCCTCAGCGGTACCCTTTTATTTGTTTCATATTTTTCTTGTTTTAGATTCAATACAAGCAAGTTCAACAAGCGCACAATGCGCCTCTCTCCATCACTATCTGATCATCATAAGATTAAATCCAGTGCTTAGATAAGCAAGTGCATGATGCACTTCCAGGGGCCATCCACATGGGATCCAGCGTAGGGGTTTGGGCTCTTGTGTTGGGCCTGATTGAATTTCTTTCCATACCTCCCTTGTTTGCTAAATCAGGCCCATTTTCATTTTTATTTTATTTTTCTGATTCAAACAAAAATTTGTTTTGGGCCTAACATTTTTTATCTTCACCTCCCTGATTTCTTTTACACCACTGACCCTTTTAATTTTTTTTTAATTTTATTTGTTTTTCTTTTTTAGTTTAATTTTATTTAAATCTTAAAAACATAAAAATTTAAAATTAGGTTTTGCTATCAAAATATTTTCTAAAGCAATTAGTTTCTCTTTTAAAATTAAAAAAAATAAATTAGACTTAGGTTTTGTTTATTTAATTTCCCTTTTAATTAATTAAAATTAACATAGATTTTTTTTAGGTTTTGTTTGATTAATTAATTGACTTCCTTTTTAATAAAGAATTAATTAAATAATTAGGTTAATTATCAAGCCTTCTTCTTTCAAAAGAAATCACAAAAAATAATTTCCTTTCTCTTTTCATTACTTTACATTCTTTGCGTATTTTATTATTTCGCATTTTTTCGATTATGTAATTATTCTTGGTCTGTAATAGATAATTTGGGTTTACTGCTTTCCATCCCCATTCATAAACATGTACCCCCATCCACGGAGCATTGTAATAGCGTAGGACATTTAATTTCCGCAATTTACTGCTTCCCTTATTACTGTTAGTAATTAGGGTTTGTATGGCAAGATTAAAATCAATCATTAGAAAACCTAATCTCAAAGACAAATACATGAAATCAAAACACTTCGCACACATACACCTCTAGGATTAACCTCACTTGTTTTCTCGGATTAAAACATTCATGTCCCTCGAACGTGGGATGTTTTAGCAAAGACCCTCGATTAAAAGATCATAGTCCCTCAATGACCCTTCGATGTTGCCTTCGGTAAACGATCTTAGTCCCTTACGAAAATTGCTAAAGC